CTAGTCTGCCGGCTAGCGACTTGAGGACCTTGTTGCGGCTCTGTACTTTATTGACAATAGCGGTTGCGTGCGCAGAGAAGGAGAGCAGGCTGTCGAATGTTACTCCGAGTATTTTGGGGTTATTCACCGTCGGAATTGGTGTGTCATCGACGTGAATCCCCAGCGGTAGCCTGACCTCCTTGGTCCAGGTTGTGAACAGGGTCGCGCAGGATTTCGTAGGGGAGAGGGCTAGACACTTTGCAGTGAAGAAGCGAGAAAGTTCGGAGAGACCCGTTTACTTTCGAACACAGGTCATCAATGCCATTCCCAGTCGCCATGATCGAGCAACCGTCGGCATAAGAGACAATCGAGACTCCCTCTGGTGGTTGAGGGAGCTTTGAAATGTAAAAGTTATAGGACGCAGTGGACGAAGCTACAGACTGTACAGAACACCGCACTCAGGACAGCGACAGGATGCCTCCTGATGTCGCCCGAACACCACCTACACGGCGAGGCGCAAATGCTCCCCGTAAAGGAGCACAATATAATGCTCTGCAAGCAGTTCCTGATCGGGAGCCACAGAAGTGGCCACCCAAGCAGACAGCTGCTTGCAGAGGAGCCCTCGCCTAGGCGCGCCAGGAGGCATCTATATGAACTGACGGACGAAGTCCAGAGGTTCATCAAGTAACCTCTGGACCCGACAGCTTACCGACAGGCCCTGAACGGCATTCACAGGGACTCAGTCTCGAGTTATGTAGACTCTAGACCTGGGAATGCCGTTCTAGGTATACAACCCCGGACATAGACGAGACGGAGCTTCATCTGCCTCGGGAGACTCGCACAACACTTTCACAACTTCGCTCCGGCTACTGCAGCAGGTTAAACTCCTATCTGAGTTGATTGAATGAGGATGTGCCGAATGAGTGTCCGGCATGCGGAGAGACCCCACATGACTCGAAACATCTCTTCGCATGCCCGGAAAACCCGACAACCCTAACGGCCTTGTCCCTGTGGACAAACCCGACAGAAGCTGCACACTTCCAACCCTCCTGGGCGGGGTTGTTGTAGCCGCTACAACAACAACCACATCTTCGTTCCCACGACAGTCGCGTCTACGTAATCGGAACGACCCAGATTTAAAGCTGGCCAAGGACTGTCACTTCAGCTACACTCCCCAAAAAGTCTTTGGGGAATTTGTGTGCTGCTACAATAATAATACCACATCTTCTTTATTGAGCAACCGCAGTGCCTCTGATTAAATATCGCTACGCGCTTCGCTTGTTTTTCTTTTTGAGAATCGGCTAAGTAATCGTTTTTCGAGAAGCCGGCATTTGCTATAAAAACCATTTATGCGCTATGGCAAAAGACGTTCACTACGGGCCATTCAGTTTCATGGTACCAACACATAATTCAGCTCAATTGTTGTAAACTATATTTTATTTACTTTGCGCATTTGTATGCAAAATGATAATTATCTGAATTGTCAAACTTGTTTACATTAGTGTAATTTGACAATCCTCGTTTGACATCTTATGTTTCTCAAGCAACAACAAAATAGAAGGAAGTGTTGCATTTGCTCTCTCCTATTACATATTTATTGTGCCATGGTTGAAACTAAGCGAGAGCTCGCATACCTCTCAGTATTCGAGAAAAAGCATGTTTCGTACTTCTTGCGGTCTACACGTGCGGTTTCTCGCATGCGTCGTCACACAAGTGAGATTTTCCAGCACGTTAAGACGGCCAGTAAACATCGACGAACATCGAGGTTTGAAGCCATGACCATCGATGTTGCTCGATACATCGATGGTTTTTTACCTCTTTAATCGATAGTGTTTTCGATTTTTTTTTCCAGCTCTACGATGTTATTGGCTTTTAGAGCGGAATTTCGGGAGCGTTAAATGTTTGATCGATAGGTGCTTATTGAAGAAATTTCTGAGGTATGTACGCGAGTGAGTTTCATTATAAAAATGTTTTCATTTATGACTGTTTTACACGTTTAATACGTGGGC